ACCAGATTAACTAACTTTCTCCATGCTAACTTTACCCCGTCTGATCTGTAAATCGTCATACACAACACACAATCAACCTAGAGAGTCTTCAAACCATGCAAGATCCCCCTACCTTTTTTTTTTTTCCTGAGATGAAGTCTCACTCTGTCGCCAGGCTTGAGTGCAGTGGCACGATCTCGGCTCACTGTAACCTCTGCCTCTCAGACTCAGGTGATTCTCCTAGCTCAGTCTCCTGAGTAGCTGGGATTACAGAGGAACGTCACTACACCCAGCTAATTTTTGCATTTTTAGTAAAGACGGGGTTTCACCATGTTGGCCAGGATGGTCTCGATCTCTTGACCTCACGATCCACCCGTGTCTGCCTCCCAAAGTGCTGGGATTACAGGTGTGTGCCATCACACCCAGCTGCAAGATGCCTCTTATAAAATTGTCTTTAAGACTACTATCCTCAAAAGGCTTCTGCAGAATAACCTTAGTGCCAATTTACAGGCTAGTCACTTTTCCTTCTTCCTGTTCCACAGAGCAGCCCTCAGGAGAGCTACAGGGAGCTGTGCACAGGTCTGTCGTGTATGCTGCACTATCCACCTGTGCCCTCTTTCCTTGTCAGACTGTAGCTGGCTTAGGTCAGGCAGAGGCACTCCCTCCACTGCCTTGAAGATGAGGACTACTGCCTTCCTCAGGCTTAGAATTCAGCCCCTTGCCAGCAAAAATGCACCCAACATCAAAACTGAGGTACACTTTCTTCTACATATATATTGGCAGCTGATGAATATGAGATTAAAGTTGAATCTTCTACAAAATGTCAACATATGTTGTGTTACTAAGTAAATGCCATCTTCCTCAAACACAAGGCAAAGTGTTTGAACACCCTTAACTATGTTTTTCAAGCACTTTTCATATGTAATAATGAAGTCCTCTGGCTAGAAGGGTTCAGAAGTTACTGAGTAAACTCAGCCCAAGGATACACAGTTAGAAATTTTATGACATGGTCAGAAGCTGGCCTTCCTTCCCAGAACTCTACTTACTCCTCCCAAGGGAACCAGATTAAAAAAGCAGCTCCCTTCACCCTTCAGTATACTCTTATAGGTATAGTTCACTCCAAGTGCATTATTTTCCCTTTCCCCTGCCTTCTCTTTCTTTCCAAACCCATCCTTTATGAAATTCTGCCCCAGTAAACCAATCACAGCAACTATCCAAGAGGCAGAAATGAAGAGCTACAGCACGGACAAAATTTCAGACCATCACAGTTAGTTCCCCTCTGTTGCCCTTGTTATGGTAACAGCATACTTTTCCATGGCTGATGAGACGGCTGTGCAGGAAAAGAAAGGCAAAGAGAAAGGGTAAAAGAGATCTTTACGTTTCTGCTCATTCTGCAGAGCACAACTCTCCTAAAAAGGGCCAGTTCAGCACCTAGAAAGGAAATAAGGTAGCGGAAAGAATCATATTAGCTAGCATTCCAGAGGGAGAAAAGTGTCTAAATGTTTGCAAACTTCCTTTGCTAGTAAGATAAAGCATCTCAAAAGAGTTGAGGAAAAAACTGGAATAGTGATCAGGATACTAAATTTTGAGGGAGCCACAGAAAATAATCAGCTGTTTAACACTAACAAGTTACTTAACTTCTCTGGGTCCCAGTTTCTCTCAATAATAAAATGAAAGCATTAGGTTTCTTCCAACTCACTAGTGTTACAAAAGTCAAGCCAACTATGTAACTTTACCTTCCTTTGAGGGTATAAGTAGCTTCTCAATGGAAGAACTAAGTATCATCCCCACTCCTCCACAGGCTGATAGAAAAATAAAATAAAATCCAAGAACTTTTTTTTTTTTTTTTGGCCTGGAATTTGCCCAACAAAAAGTTTCCTCTTCCTTCGTAATGAGAAAGGGTACTCTTCTAACAATATGAGAAATCCAGAAGGTTTCAGCCAGTGTGTTTTCACCCACTTCTTACTTCCCAAACCACAGGAAGGCAATTTTGAGAAACCTCAAGGGTAAGCTGTATCCTCTGAACCCCAATGAATAAAGGACTCTTAAAGGGGAAAGGGGGAGAACCTTTAAGTTCAGTATGCTGTGAATGTCCCTGCTCAGTCTGATCATTTAGGGCATTTGGTTCACCAACTGCTGTTATGCCAGCATGCTCTGACATGTATGTGACCCTCCAGAAGGTTTCCAGGAGTTTGAGGCAGGAAATGTTAATCTCCTCCCTTACCACTAAATAGAGATTTCCAACACAAGCCTCCCACTCATTTTTCTAAATGTTTTCAAGTCTGAAATATATGTGAGCACTTCACTCTACTCTTACAGAACTAAAAATTTGTCTGCCGGTACCCCCAAATCATTTTAAACCTATTCAGACCAAGGACTGTATTTCCTACTTTCATCTGTTGTCCCCTTTTGTGCAAAGCACTCCCTGGGTGCACAAAATTCACAATTAATACCTAACCACATTAATTCAGGCATCTGGAGGTAGCCAGATAACAAACTACTGCACCCTGGTTGAGGGAAACAAAATTACATGGTAAGAGGAAGATGTAGCATTAGAGATACACAAAACATCAGAGAGGGAACTTAAATCAGTTAAATACACAACACCTAAAGAGCATTCATTGCTGTAATAGTGATTAAGTCCAATTTCAACAGTATTATATCCTTATAAACATATTAAATAAGACCTCGTGTTAAAAATCCAAAGATTACGATGAGTTCTCCCAACAAATACAGGCTCAACATTAAGGAGCCAGGATGACAAGTATTTAAATACAAAACAAAAAACTGTGTAGAAACAATAGGGAGGGAAGTTAAGTGATAACTGAGAAAACAGTGGTGACTGAGTGTGTTAGGAGGAGGGGCAAATGAATCAGTATTTCTGGCAGAATCTTTCCAAGCACTTTAAAAATTAATCCCGGCTATGAGACAGGCTTCCATCTTTGAAGCAACACTTAAAGACTAGACCCTTATTTTTAAAAGCATGGTAGCTTGACTATTTGACATAAGCCAAAAATGTGTCTAGGTGGCTCTTCCCTCAGGGGAATAATATATAGCTGAAGGTTTAGTTCCTTTCCCAAATAAACTATAGCCGAGTGTGGCTGTTACCATGACGTGTTCTGAACTGCTGGAAGCATAGGCATTTACTGAGAAATACCATAAAGAATTCGGGAAGAAGTTATAAACCCTTTTCCATCACCTTGGAAAACAACATCTATTTCTTAAAAGCTATCAGCTCAAGTTCAAGACAACTCTTATCTGGAGCCAATTCTGGTCTGCCAAAATTTTTCAGGATTAAAAAGCAAGAACTCGGTCAGGTGCAGTGGCTCACGCCTGTAATCCCAGCACTTTGGGAGGCAGAGGGGAGCGAATAACTTGAACCCAGGAGTTCAAGACCACTCTGGGCAACATGACGAAACCCAACTCTACCAAAAATACGAAAATATTAGCCAGGCATGGTGGCACGTGCCTGTAGTCCCAGCTATTGAGGAGGCTGAGGTGGGAGGGTTGCTTGAGCCTGGGGAAGTGGAGAATGCAGTGAGCCAAGGTCATGCCACTGTACTCCAGCCCAGGTGACAGAGTGAGACCCTGTCCCACGCTCAAACACAGGGTTTACCGTCTTTAGTCTTGAATCGATCATATCAGGGAGGAGTCTTCTTCCATGAGTTAGGCCACCTAAGAACTCCACTATTCTGTGAAGTTAACAGTTCCTTAAACCCAGCTCTCCATACATATTAATGAACTTCTGCCTGGGTCATTTAAAAAGCCTTCCAAGGCAGCCACTTCCCTAGAGCGGCCTGGCTGAATTTCTCTGTAAAGCTCTCTCCTAGATTTTTATCCCTTGGTGTTGGCAAGCAGGTCTCCTTACTCCACAGGCCTTGCTATTGTGCAACGGATTTAAGGATGGTCCAGGCCTAACTGCACCGGATTGGTTGTAGTACAACTCCTGAGCCCTGCCCACAGGAACAAGGCTAGCAATCCTCTAGACCGCAGGAGCGGCTAAGTCCCCACCCTCTAACAAGAGGCCACCCCAACACCAAAAGGAGGCAAAGTTCTGAAGTCAAAAAGGAGGCCCCATTTCCTTCAATAAGGCTCCTCCAAATCGCTTTCCAGGCTCCTCCCTCTGGAGGACAGCCCAGTTAGGGCACAGACAACCTTTGAGCTCTCTTTTCCCGTGACCAAGCTTCACCTCGACTCCAGTGTTACTTACTTGTAAACAGTTCCTGGTCGTGCTTTGAAAAGCGATGCCAGGGAACCATCCTCTTTCTGAACTGCCTCTCTAGCCTCTTCTAAGGATCAAGCAACCCCCCTATCCAACTGGGGTGTCCTTGATAAAGGTCCTTCAATCCATCTCCGAAGGCGTCGCGCTGCCAGCGCCCTACCACCCCCCACCTACTTTCCCTCGGCTATGACTTGAGCTTTATTATATCACTCTCTCCTCCCGGCCTGGGGACTCCCCTCACCCGTGGGGCCTCTTCCAGCAAAGTAAACAATGCTGTCAAAGCAGGATAACGCTGGGCGAGGCTTCCAGACTCCGCATTCCAGCCTCCTCCCAGTGTTCCCAAAGCAGCAAAACAAGCTATCGCAGGATCCCAGGGCCAAATTCCTCTCCCCAAGTCCTTTTTTCCAAAAGGCCCGGAGCCAGCTCCAAAATCAAGCATGAATTTGCACACCCTGCCAGAGACGGGCAACGCAGAGTGTACCGCGAGGCCCAGCCGAGCCAAACCCGCCCGGGAAGGAGGCAGAGGGGGGACAGAAAACTGGGTCGAGCGCGTCAGCCTGCCACGAAGCGGAAACCAGGGCTCTTTTCGCGTCAGGACAGCCGCATTCCCGAGTGGGGCGCGCGCGGACTCGATCAGCGGGCGAGAGAGAACGCGAAGCGAAGGGTCCCGGGCGCGCGGGCGGGCGCGAGGGCGGCGTCCCACCGAGGGCGGGGGCGAAGCGGCCGGGCGCCGAGGCGCCGCGGAGTTAGAGGACCGCGGCGGGACCCCGAGCGCGGCGGACGGCTGGCCGGCGCTCACCTCCCGGTGTGGTGGAGAAGAGCGTCCCCCCGGGCGTGGTGCAATAGTCATGAGGTAGCTGCGCGGCGTCGCTGATGGCCACGGTGCGAGTGGGGATGGCGCGGCTCTGGCTGGGCTGGTGGCTGCTGCCGGCGGACGAGGACATGGCTGTGGGCGCGGGCTCTCGGCTTTGTCCGGCGGGCAGGCGGCGGCGGCGGGGCCGGGGCTGCTCCGGCTCCTCAGGCGGGCGGAAAAGCGCGCTCCCCGCGCTCCTCGCTTGCTTCCTCTCGTTCTCTCGTCCCGCTCCGCTCCCGCCGCCGCCCTCTCAGCCGCCGCCGCCGCCGCCGCCCGATCCTCCGGCCTCCGCCAGCAGCCTCAGCAGCAGCAGCAGCAGCAGCGGCAGCAGCGGCGACGACGACGACCGGAAGCGGGCGAAGGCGGGAGCCAGAGAGAGTTCGGGGAAGCGGGGCTGCCGGAGGTGACGTCGCCGCGGGGCGGGGCGAGGCGGTGGTGGGGCGGGGCTGCGCTCCGTGAAGCCGACGGGCCGAGGAGTTGAACCTGAGCTGGGCTAAGCCCTGGTGGGCGGGAGCGGAGCCGGAGGGAACCTGGGCTAAGTGTTTGAGAGCCCGGTGAAGGCGGACAAGGAAAACTGTCTTATTGCTATTGTTTTTCATTGTCGGTCAACACCACTTTACTTGAGCCGACTTCAATTTCTCATGCATTCCTATCCATTAAAAATGTAATTTTACTTTTAATTGTTCAGACAATGCATACACGATGTACTGTATTTAAAAAAATCAGTGAGCAGAAAGGTTTATGGTGCCACTTTCTCCCAGTTTCCGAACTCCCTTCAACCGCTGTCCCAGTTAATTGTGTATCCTTCCAGAGACCATCCCTATATAACACACATAGAACAAGATCTAAACATGAGGAAAAGGAAGAAACTAAGAGCCACCCACGTCACAAGAATGAGGATCATTATATTAGAGATAAATTGAAGCATAAGAGAGGGCTTAGACCACGAGGTACCTGAAAAATCTACATCTGGAACTCTATTCTTTTTTTTTTTTTTTGAGACGGAGTTTCGCTCTTGTTACCCAGGCTGGAGTGCAATGGCGCCATCTCGGCTCACCGCAACCTCTGCCTCCTGGGTTCAGGCAATTCTCCTGCCTCAGCCTCCTAAGTAGCTGGGATTACAGGCACGCGCCACCATGCCCAGCTAATTTTTTGTAGTTTTTAGTAGAGACGGGGTTTCACCATGTTGACCAGGATGGTCTCGATCTCTTGACCTCGTGATCCACACGCCTCAGCCTCCCAAAGTGCTGGGATTACAGGCTTGAGCCACCGCGCCCGGCTCCTCTAGAGATTCTCGAAGTTTGGGGTCTCAAATTTTAATTCTTGAAAATTATTGAGGATCTCCAAGGGCTTCTGTGTGGATTGTATACATCGATAATTACTGTATTAGAAACTAGAGCTGAGCCCCTGCTGATCAGTAGTGGGACTGTACCTGGGAATAGCCACTGCATTCCAGCCTGGGCAACATAGTGAGGCCCTTTATCTAAAAAAAAAAAAAAAAAAAAAAAAAAAAAATTTAACTGAGGATGTTTTAAATGTTTATTCATTCATAAAATAACAACCTATTACATGTTGACATATTTTTGATTATATTTTTTCTGAAACAAAAAATAGAACAGTGGCATTATTTTATATTTTTGCAAGCACTTTAATATCTGGCTTAATAGATGACAGCTATATTCTCATATCTGTTTCTTCGTTCGAGCTGTTGTAATGTGTTGATTCAAGTATATGAAGAAAACCCAGCCTCACACAGATATGTAGTTAGGTTGTCTCAGACCCCCGAGGGGCTCTCCAGACCACACTCTCAGAACCAATGGCAGCACTAAGGCAGCACTACTTCCGCTCACAGCCTGCGCAAGGTGGGGTTGGGAAGAGACTCATGGGTAAGGTCAACATAGCTACCATCATTCCCATTTTGCAAATGAGAAAAATAAGGGTAAGAGAGGTTGAGGGGAAGACAGCTATTGCTTCACTGCTCGGAGGGTCAAACAGGTGCTTGGCAAGAACATAGACAAAAGAAGTTGCACAGCCCAGGGCAGGCCAGGGCATTACATGGTACTGATTTTGTGGTGAGTGTCACAAGGATCCAGAAAGAAAAGTCCCCTGCCTGCCCTGCCATCTGGAAGCTGCAGGAGTTGCAGAGGACTGAGTTTAACCTTGAAAGACTCTGAGGCTTTGGACATGCCAACAGAGACACGTTAGTGGAAGGAAAGGGGAAAATGCTAGTTTACATTTGTGTAGAGCTTACCGCGTATGGTTTATAAAGTGCATCAGTCTGGGCGGGGCACAATGACTTACACCTGTAATCTCAGCAATTTTGAAAGCTCAGGCAAGAGGATGGCATAAAGCCAGGAGTTCAAGACCAGCCTGGATAACAAACCAAGACCCTCCTCTCACATTTCTACAAAAATAAAAGTAGAAATAAGTAAAAAGATATCCAGACATGGTAGTGTGCACCTGTAGTCCCAATCTACTCAGGAGGCTAAGGCAGGAGGATCTCCTGAGCCCAGGAGTTCAAGGCTACAATGAGCTATGATTGTGCCACTGCACTCCAGCCTGACAGAGCAAGACCTGTGACACAGAGGATGGAGCTAAAGATGAGATGAAAGGAAATAAAGGAAGACTGAACCAAAGTACAATTTGGAAGTTTTGGGGACAGGAGAGTATGGTCTGCTTTCTATTTATTTTGTTAGGCAGCCTGGGGGAAGTGAACAGAGCACAGGTTTCAGAACATACAGACTGGGTTTGAATCCCAGCTCTGCCATTTACAAGCGGTGTGACCCCAGGCAAGGTGCCTATGCTCTCTGAGCCTCATCTGTAATGTGACAATAACCATGTTACCTCATCTCGTAGTCCCGTGAGTTAGCATATAACATGCTTAGCAAATAATTGCGACTTGACAAAGTCATACTGAAATTAATTGAGGTTTTATTTTTATTTATTATTTATTTATTATTTTTGAGATGGAGTCTCATTCTGTCTCCCAGGCTGGAGTGCAATGGCGCAATCTCAGCTCACTGCAACCTCCGCCTCCTGGGTTCAAGAGATTCTCCTGCCTCAGCCTCCCAAGTAGCTGGGATTACTGGCATATGCCACCACATCTCATCTCTACTATAAATACAAAAAAATAAAAACACCACATATGGTTTTTTTTTTTTTTTTTGTATTTATAGTAGAGATGAGATTTCACCATGTTGGCCATGCTGGTCTCAGACTCCTGATTTCAAGTGATCCTCCTGCCTCGGTAACTGAGGTTTTAGATTTTCCTATTAGGACCTCTGATATCTCCTGCACCTTTTCCTCAATTAAAAGTCAACAGTCAGGCCAGCAGGCACACTGGTTCGTGCCTGTAATCCCAGAACTTTGGGAGGCCGAGGCAGGCGGATAACTAGCTGAAGAGTTCGAGACCTGCCTGGCCAACATGGTGAAATCCCATCTCTACCAAGAATACAAATATTAGACAGGCATCATGGTGCACTTGGGGTCCCAGCTACTACCTGGGAGGCTGAGGCAGGAGGATCACTTGAACCAGGGAGGCAGAGGTTACAGTGAGCTGAGATTGTGCCACTACACTCCAGCCTGGGTGACAGAGCAAGACTTCGTCTCAAAAAAAAAAAAAAAAAAAAAAAAAAATTGAAACCAAAAACAAAAAATTCAATAACTGTCTCGTTGCAAAAGTACCAGCACAAAATTGCCTTTGTGTTCCTTTGAAATAAAATGTGTGTGTGCATTTGCATGTGTGTGACTGTGGCTGTGTAAGTGTGAATTTCTTCACCTCTAGAAACCCCTAAAAAAAACTTCACTCAACTAATTTTTTCACACTTTCTAAAAATGTGCTTTTCTTGGTAACAGCTTTATTGAGATATTTTATATGTGTGTGTGTGTGTTTGTGTCTGTGTGTGTGTGTGTATATGTGTGTGTGTGTGTGTGTGTTTTGTTTTTGTTTTTTTTTTCTTGAGACAGTCTTGCTCTGTCACCAGGCTGGAGTGCAGTGGCATGATCTCAGCTTACCGCAACCCCCGCCTCCCGGGTTTAAGCAATTCCCCTGTCACAGCCTCCCAAGTAGTTGGGACTACAGGTACATGCCACCATACCCAGCTAATTTTTGTAGTTTTAGTAGAGACAGAGTTTCTCCATGTTGACCAGGATGATCACAATCTCTTGACCTCATGATCTGCCCACATCGGCCTCCCAAAGTGCTGGGATTACAGGTATGAGCCACCACATCCGGCCAAAAGTCAATCTTTTTAAAATGGACAATTCAGTGGTTTTTAGTAAGTTTACATAGTTGTTTATCCATCACCACCATCTAATTCCAGAATATTTTTATTGCCCCCAAAAGATAGCCCAGGCACATAGCAGATGCATTTTCATCTTGAACTTGATGAAGCTTATGCTGGGAAATTTTATTTGTTTATTTCTATGTTTTGAGGCAGACTCTCAGTCTGTCACCCAAGCTGGAGATCATATCTCGCAGCTTGGAACTCCTGGGCTTAAGCAGTCCTCCCTCCTCAGCCTCCTAATGTGTTGGGATTACAGGTGCAAGCCACTGCGCCTGGTCAAGTTTATATTTTTTATTTGTTATTGATTGATTTTTTTTAGACAGGGTCTTGCTCTGTTTCCCAGGCTGGAGTGCAGTGGCATGATCACAGCTCACTGCAGCCTCAACTTCCCAGGCCCAAGCAATCCTCCTGCCTCAGCCTTCGGAGTAGATGGGTCCAAAGGCATGTGCCATCATGCCTTGCCAATTTTAAAATTTTGGGGATATCTCACCCTGTTGTCTAGGCTGGTCTCAAATTCCTGGGTTCAAGTGATCCTCTCATCACCTCAGTCTCCCAAAGTGCTGGAATTATAGGTGTAAGCCACCATGCCCAGCCTCAGGTGAGAATTTAAAGGATAAATCTATTTCTCCCCTTTCCCAGAGCCTACCATGGGAGACCAGGAGGGCCTCTACACGGCCTCAAATGTACAGGTGGGTATTATCTCTGAATGAGGTTATCTAAATAAATGGGGACTGGGGAGCTGCTGATGCAATTGTGACCCCACAGATGCAGGACGCTTTAGATTCATACCTCATGTATTCCTAGGCTCAAGCATGAAAGATACCCCACACGTGGGCAGTCCTGTCTATGACTTTTTAACAATTTATTGATATTACTGGAATTTGAAAGAAATGGATGCAGTCAGGGTGGCTCACACCTGTAATCCCAGCACTTTGGGAGGCTGAAGCGAGTGCATCACTTGAGGTCAGGAGTTCGAGACCAGCCTGACTAACATAGTGAAACTCTGTCTCTACTAAAAATACAAAATTAGCTAGCCATGATGGTACATACCTATAATCCCAGTTGCTTGGGAGGCAGACTCAGAATCACTTGCACCTGGGAAGTGGAG